ACACATACTCATATACACATATGCAGTATTTATTGTTAGTATTGATACCCAGCCCTGTGCTCCTTTACGATGCTCACTGGTCATCCAATGCTTACGTTCTCTGATCATAGTTTCTCTTTCTTCAACCAGAGATGTGTACCGCTGTGCTCGGAGCAGCAACTGGGGAGATCAACAGCCGCTCATTCAGCAAGTCCAAGATGACGTCCAGAGTGACTCAGAGTAATGATTCAGCGGGGAAAAGAGAATTCTTTAAACAATGCTGAAAACACACTAAAAAGGAGATAAGACTGCCGTCCAAGGACTCATCGGTTTTTAGTTGTTTAAATACTGACTCATCTGACTGATTCATTGAATAAACATTCACACCCAACCTTACTCTACTTCACCGAGCTTTATTGTGAACCACCTTCAACAGATTGTGCTGCAATTTGTTTCAGTACTTCAAGAAAGAATCCCAAAGTCCAAAAGCACCACTGATCTTTCCCTTTCAAGCAAAAATACCAAATATTTGATGGTCAAAACGACACATTTGATGTCACCTTGTGCTGTAGGAAATTGAGCTGCAAATTTTTTACTGTTCTCTGGTGTTTTAAAGACTAAAGCAATTAATCACAGAGTAATCATCGGATTAAATCGATAATGAACATAACAGTTAGCTGCAGCGCTTTTGTCCAGATTATTCAGACAGCAGTTCACATCTGTCCTTTATGTGACAGAAATGAGCAAATGCTGCTGAGCATGTAGTCCTTCAGTGTCTCCCTGACCAACACTTAAACAATCAGATCCTGGTGTGGCCTTAATGTCTGCAGGGATTCAATCACACCTGTATTTATGTCTCAGGTGCTCAGATGTGTTTGATTAAAGGTATGAACAAACTCTCAGAAACCAAAAATCTGCAGCTTTTACAACCTGATTCATAAACTGATGTGATATAAAAAACTTCCTAAACAGTCCTTAGATCTGAAGAATGAGAATATTTTTGTAATACAGTAAATATGAACACACAGTTACAGAAACTCTTAAGCAAGCGCACATTATTTTAACATCTATTAACTCCCAACAATCTCTTTCAGGGCTGAGGTCAAGTCTGGGTACTTGTACTGAAACCCGGCCTCTTGAGTCCTCTTTGGTATGACTTTCTGGCCCTGCGTCAGGATCACAGCCCTCTCAGAGCCCATTAGGGTGTTCATGACGAAAGCGGGCACAGGGAAAACGGTGGGTCTCCTCAGGACCCGGCCCAGTTCTTTAGTGAACTCGTAGTTGGTGTTCAGTGCAGGTGCGACCCCGTTGAAGACTTGTGGTGAAGTCGAGGGAGTGTCAGCGGGGGGCTCCAGGGCGTGGGCGATGATTCCTGCCAGGTCCGAGACATGGATCCATGGGAACGGCTGTCTTCCTGACCCCAGAGTGCCGCCGAGACCGAGCCAGAAGGGCAGCAGCATCTGCTTCATGGCGCCACCATCACGGCCCAATACTGCCCCTGGTGGAGGGAGGGAGGAATGTTTACAAAATAAAACTAAATACTTAAGATTGCCAAAATAAAGTAGACTCCAGTGAGATTTTTAATGGGATGATTTATGCAGTGGTGGAAAGTAACTAAGTACTGTACTGAAGTACAATTGTGTGGTACATGTACTCTACTTTATACTAATACTAAAATACTGTACTTTTTACTCCACTACATTTATTTAAGAACTTACTTGTTATTTTACAGATTCAGATGAATAATACAAAATATAATCAACTAATAAATAATAGTGTATCATTATGGATAAAGATAAGACACATATATAACAAATGCATCAATAATTATACTTAAATAATATATATTATTCTGAACTGGGCCATTTAGTAAAATTAATAGTTTTACTTTTTGAACTATATTTTGATGCTAATGCTTTTACTTGAGTAAAATATTGAATGCAGGACTTTTACTTGTAACAGAGTATTTCTACACTGTGGTATTGCTTCTTTTACGTCTTGTGAGTACTTGTTCCACTACAGGATTTATTTAAACTCTTTTCACCTGCTTAAATCTGCAACTAAGTCTCTGGAGGTACCAAAATACAATTCTGATGTTGATGAACGACAAGTAGCAAGACCTTAAAGTTTAGAAACGATTCAGCTGTTTTTAAACTTCTTCGTTTCTTATTTTCAATGTCATAAAAAACATGAAAAACACACAATCGTTTTGTGTGCAACTTCCTGATGATTGCTGGGACTTTATTTTGTAATTTAAAGTGAAATGCCCACTTTTTACATACCAGGCCTGATAACGACTTGTTTGGTGGTTTTTGCCACATTCTCTGGAAGAGTTGCCGCAGCCTCCCACTCTTTCACAAGTTTGGAGAGGAAGTCAAATGGTGTCCACTCGCTGTCTTCTGTATACTGAGCTGTCAGACTGGGCTGGTAACAAGCTGCGGGTCAAAAAAGCAAAGTGAGAAATATACACTACAATAGATGTCACCGTCGAGTTTTACTATCAGGCAGAGACTCACCTACACCTGATACCAGGACCCAGGAGCGAGGAGGACTGGCGGAAGCAGCGATGGCTTGAGCCAGAGTTTTTGTGGTGTCGATACGACTGGAGAACAAATCCTTTTTGTAGCTTTCATTCCACCTAAAAAGCACAAATAAAAACAGATCAGGTGGAGATCCAGCTACACTGAAACAGCTGCTACCTGCAGTATAATTTAAGTGCATGTCACATTCAGTTTTAATTGATCTAGACAAAAAGTCAAATGCAACTTAATCAAGAAATTCAAAGCAACAACTGAGCAGGCCAGAACACTACATGGCCAAAGATATGTGGACACCTTAACACACGTAATTCCAAAACTTAAGACGTTAATCTGCTACTTTAACAGCCTCCACTATTCTGGGCAGCTTTTCCAACAGGTTTTGAAACCTGGCTGCAGGAACTTGCTTCCAGTCAGGCCCAACAGCACTAGTGAGGGAGGCCAATGATGTTTGACAAGACCTGGTGCACAGTAAATGTTCCAGTTCATCCCAAACATGTTGAATGGGGTTGAGGTCAGTTCTTCCACCACAAACTTGAGCACAGGAGTACTGAGATGTTCCTTTATCTCCTCCACAAAACTGAGAAAACCCTCAGCTCCCAGACCACAGTTTTAATCAGGGCTGCCCCAAAACTTTGGACTATTTGTTGGTGTATTACAGCCACACTTGACAGAAGAGTGTGTCTGTGCGTAGTTGTCACTCTCACCATCGTAGTGGGTTCATTATATTCTCTCCAGCCAAGTTGACGGCACCCTCACATGGTGGGAGACCACCAGACTCCAACTCACCCTGCAGAGGCACAGAGGGCAAAAGGTAATCAGAACACAGGACTCTGAAATGCAACAAAAAGAGGGAAATTCAAAAGATTTTTACAGACATTAGAGAGTAAAAATCACTGATATGAGCTCTGAATCATACCCAGGTTATCTTTCCTGGACCAGGTTGGCGAGATATCACTGTGACCTCATGACCTTTGTTTCTGAGCAGGCGAGTCAGCTCACGGCCCACAAAGCCGGACCCCCCTCCTACAGAGAAGACAATATAGAAACAGATGAAGCACACAGATCAATCAGTTACAATGAAAGTGCATGAGAGAATTTAATTTATTTTTAAATTAAGGTTACATTTACTCTAATTTCACCTAATATAACAGTATTAATTGTGCTACATTATGAATCATAAACAATATAATGGATGCAGTCACACTGAAAGTACATAAGAGTCACCACAGTGCGCATGCGTACTGTCCATGCTTACAAAACAGGACTCTGTGAATGACTTTAGCAAACTGAGCTTCAGATAATAACTTAAAAAGTGACAGTTTTCGAGGTTTAATCACATAACTAACACGCTTTCCTTCACTATAATATTACAGACGAACATAATGCACATATATATATATAATGTATGCAATGCTAACATTAGCTAACAGCTAGCAGGCAGCGTTATATCACGTTGAGCTTTTTAACAGCGACTTTAAAAGTTTAAAGACGTAATTATTAAATAACGAACAAACCTATTAAAACCCTCATTGTCGTTAATTCACCGTCCAATGTTGAATTAAATAACTGAACGTCGCAGCAGGTCACACCGTTTTCTTTACGCCTGTGGCACTCTTGTGTGAGTTTGTTTCGCGCTTTTGACCCAATAGGGTTTCCGTAGCCAGGCGGGCAGATACGTCATTTTGTAGTTTATCAGAATCAGAAATGATTTATTGATTACAGTTGATCAACACACAATGTTCAAGAACAGCAATAATACTTATTATTTTTATTATTATATTACAATCTAACACAATATACATAGAATATATAAATGTATATAAA